ACTGATGTTGAACTTCCACGGAAGCCCTCAGTGGATATACCTGCGGCGGGCTGGAAGGCGATGTCCGGGTAGAAGTATAGAGCCACAGGTGGAGAGACAGCCAGGCAAAAACGAAGCCACAAAAGATCTGTAGCAGAGTACTGGAGAAGAGCTGTCGCCGGGTGATGAATGATGGATAAAAAAAAATCCCAGGTGAGCACGAGCCACACCAACACCCTGTGGATCCGCATCTTAAGCCACCAATATACTCACACATAGATGGATGGAGTGGACTGTGGAGTGAACTAGCAGAAGGGCTGGTGTCCTGTTAGCCAGTTTTATTCGCATGAAATCTCATGTTTTTCAGGACACAGGTGTAATGGACCTGGTGAATGATATCATGTACCAGCCGGTGACAATCTTCCTGCCGTCAGACGGTGTCATGGCATCTCTGCCGCAGGAACAGAAGGACTTCCTGTTCCACCAACACAATCGACCCCAGCTGATGGAGTACCTGAAATACCACATCCTGCACAGCCAGAAGGTAAAACTTCTTTAGAGGGTACTTTTAGAGAAGCGTTAGACACTTTACAGTATGGCAGCTGGAAGAACAGCTCTGAAAGATTTGATAACTGGGATAAAATGTGAGGGTGCCTCAGGGAGGTTATCGCAGAACAAACATGGTGCTGTGGAGGTAAAAACGCTGAAGCAGGTCAGGTGGTTTCTCAGGTTTAGTTTAAAATGCCTTTAATCTCAGGTTTACGCTGAAGGACTGATCTTCCTGGACTCGGCTCGGAGTTTGCAGGGTTCGCCGCTCTCCTTCTCCTGTGGTGGGACAGACAACATTGTGAGTACTACAGTAAGAGAAATCTACAGAAAAGACAAACAAGACAAACATGGACTCCAAATAACCAACTGTCCTTTGAACAGGGAGAAATCTTCATCAACAACAGGAAGTGTCGGATTGTTCAGAGACACCTCATCTTTAAAGCGGGCATTGCCTACGGGATCGACTGCTTGCTAACTCCTCCCAGCCTCGGAGGACGCTGTGATGAACAAAGAACCTTTGACCTTCCGGTGAATCCTCACTTTACTGTCTGAGATGCATCTGAATGCTACCTGGAACAACCAGACATACTGATTCTGACTGTGTAAACTGTTAATGCTGATGGTGTTGGAGCACGGGTTATGTGTAACTCGTAGGCTTGAGTGTACTCACACAGTGAAAGTAACGGTGAGAGCCTGGCCTAATCTACAGTCTTAGAGGCCTGCTGTGTTCATGTTTTAGTTTCTGGTTATTTTTCCTGTAGCGGTGAACAGTCTGAAAAATGATTTAGAGCACCGAGAGCCTGGCAGTGGAGTGTGACACAACTCCACACTAGTGTGGGTTTAAAAAAGCTAGATGGTCCTAAAATCAGTCAAACATTTCCCACAGCAGCACAAATAAAAAGATTTTTGCAGGTGAGCTGATGGTTCATTTGATCTTTTCTTTTCTTCTTCTGTGGTAGACAAGCTGTGGAGGATGCAGCTTTTCTTCCACTCGCTGTCCTGCGGGAGGCATTCGTAAGGTCTGAGTCCCATCTTTAACAAACTCACTGCCTCTGTCAGGCTGAGCCTCGAAGGAAACGTCTCTGTTTTTTGTGTTCAGGAGGTTCAGAAGTGTGATCTGCCCACCTTTTCCTTTGCTAAGAACACCGGCTGTCGCCCCATCTGCACCTTTAACATGTGGGAGCCAAAGTGTTGTCGTGGTTACTACGGACGAGACTGTCTGGGTGAGATAACAACGTCATCCTCATATTAAAACCATTTCTTCAGGCTTTCTTAAATTTGTGAAACTTTTTTAGGGGAAATTGAACAGTTTTTGTTGTGTGACAGAATATTCAGCTTTTTATATCGTTAATTAAAAGCAAAGAATAAATATCCTGATTGGCTGCGGTTAGAGTTAGGGTTGGTGCTGAGGTTATCACTGATAATGATTTGAGGGTCTGTCCCAGTGAGAGGTAGGGTACACCTGGATAGGTCACCAGTAGGGATGCACCGATACCACTTTTTTGGAAATGAGTACGGGTACTTGCATTTCAGTACTCGCCGATACCGAGTACTTAATAAAAACATGATTTAAATTTACAGGTAACAGCTTTAGTCCTATAATTTAACAAAAAACAAGGGACTGGTTTGGAATTAAGAACATTTATTTAAAATGAAAAGCATGTTGTATGCAACATATTACAGAATAAATAATTATGAAAAAAAAATTAAACAGTGACAGTGCAACTCAAGTATTGTTTTCAGTTTATTGTAAACTCTGCCGCTTTGGACAACACAAGGGGCATTAATAAACATCTTTGCTATTTAGTGCACAATATTTGAATAAACTAACAACATCCACCAACATAGAACTGTGGCAGTCAGTGCAACTGAGGTAGGTATTAACATCAAGTCTAAGATGACTCACTTAATGGAGAGAAAAAGTGAGTGGCAGGGTTTTTTTTAAGAAAAGTAGCTTTTCTGCATTATCAGCAGTCAGACTGTTTCTGTTTTCATCTATAATGTGTGACACTGAGCTAAAAAGCCTTTCACTTTCCACACTGCTACATGGGGCTGAGAGGTATTTACGGGCTATTTTAGCCAAAGTGGGGAACCTGATTTTGTTGACACCCCAGTACTTCAGAGGACTGTCTTCACGAGGGCTTGGGGCCTCTCCGAGGTATGTGTCGAGCTCAATGGCAGCACCTGCTGCCAGCGGCTGTGCTGCCTGGGGCTGCTCCTTAGCGATTTCGTCAAATACAGTGTCCAGACTGCTGCTAGTGCTGGCCTGGGCCTTGAGGAACAGTTTAGCAGGAGGTTCTGCAGCTTCTGCCCGACTCCCCTCTGCCTCAGCTCTGGACATCATCTGCAGCTCCTGCTTCAGGTGCAGCTTGGCCTCTGGAGCAGTGTTGTTGGAGAAGAAGCGATCTTTATACCTGCACAAAATTCATAAATGTATTAATATGTGGAAAAATAGGACTGATTTTAGTTTCCCCTAAACCACTGTGACAAATGCCAGCCATTTGACTTTCTGGTAGTAATAAGGGAAATGTATTTCATATTATATATATTGCATACATTTGTATTTGTGTATTTTAGTTACAAATATATAATATTTCAGATGTAAAATAATCTTACATTTAGTACTGTAGCTATACTCATTGAATACCTATAGCACACAGACTTTACCTTGGGTCAAGTATGGTGGAGATGAAGTACAGTGGGTTGGTCTCGACGTCACTGAAGCGCTTCTTGACAGCTGCCAGTAAGGTTGCTTTCATTGCCTTGACTCTGTGGTCCTCGTCTGTTTCTCTGTTTAGAAGTCTCACTAGCACAGTCACAGCTGGGATGACATCAGAGGCTAGTGCGTCGTAGCTGCTCACTTTTTTAGTTAGTTCCTCAAAGGGGGCGAGGATGGCAAAAGTCTTCTCCATAAGAGCCCATTGATGAGCGGTGAGATAGTCAGGGAGTTCGTGCTCGGACACACACACCCCCAGCACTCGCTTTTGCTCAATGAGGGACTGGAGCACGTAATACGTGCTGTTCCAGCGCGTCTGTACGTCCTGCTGCAGTCTCTTTATTGGCTGGTTGAGCTGTCCCTGAATGTCATCGAGGCGGGAGTAGGCTAAGGCGGAATGTTTAAAATGCCCAACTATTTTCCGTCCCACTGCTATAGCATCAGCTTTGCTCCTCTGTGCTAATAAGCGTGGGTAAACTCTTTCGCTGAGCACAATTTGCCTTTGTTTTCGCGTATTTGTTCACTTTGAAATAGTTCCACACGGCTGACTTGTCTCGCCTCGCCTTCTCCCAGCTCTGAGCTGCAGCCGGGGCCTGGGGGCAGGCACTCGGCGCCTGTGATTAACCCCTTACATGCCGCTCAAACATAGACTTGTCTCAGACCGTGGTATCGGTCCCCGGTATCGGGGGACTTTTAACGAGTACTGGTACTTTAGAAAATGTGGTATCGAGGCCGATACCAGATATCGGTATCAGTGCATCCCTTGTCACCAGTACTTCAGTGAGCATTTCAAAATGCAAATGATCTCAGTGACATCATATAAATGAGCAGGTTACGTCACTGATTGATTCAGCTACTGATGGACTGCCTTCTCTGCTCTCTGTGCAGGGTGTCCTGGGGGGTTCAGATCTCCCTGCAATAACCGTGGGAAATGTGATGACGGTCAGCTTGGTAACGGTACCTGTACCTGCGACACAGGTTTCAGAGGCACGTCCTGTGAGCTGTGCAGTGATGGATTCTATGGACCCACCTGTAAAGGTGAGTAATAGACGGGGTTTTCTCTGCGGCGTCAGATTGTAACACTCTTACTATCCTGACTTGCTTGTTTTTCAGCCTGTAACTGCTCAGAGCATGGGTCATGTGACGACGGGTGGAAAGGTACGGGTTTGTGTTTCTGTGAGGCCGGATGGACCGGAGACCGCTGTGACGTTCAGCAGAGTGAGTTCATTTCCTTCGTTGGCTTAGACTGAATTAGAAAAAAACGATCAGTCCTAAAGACACTCGCCAGCTCTCAGCGCAGTTCAGACCAAACCCGAGAGTAAAAATACTCAGGTATGAAAAGTAGATGTTTGTGCACTTTAATCACACTCATGTTTCTGTGTCTCCTCCAGCTGAGATCTTTCAATGTTCTCCAGCCTGCTCTCCAAAAGCCGTCTGTAAGGCAAACAACACCTGTGAGTGCCAGCCTTTTCATGAGGGTGACGGATTCACTTGCACAGGTAACAGTGGACCAGCATGAGGTGCCATCTCTCTTTTAACCTCTTTCAATCTCATTTAACCCGAACTCTTTCATGGCATGCATTTTTAATTTCTCTGTGCTATATTTATAGTGTTCAATAGAACACTATAAAGTCACAGTTGAGTAATGATGTGCAAAACTCTTTATTTGATGCCTGAATATAGCAGAATTTTTCCGAGTACAAAAAGAAAATGAGAAACAACAATTGTGCTCCTTTGAGCAATATGGGTCATTTAAAAGCCATTTGAAAGAGCAAAATTTAGTTTTGTGATCTAGACAACCCAAAATGTGATGTCCCCATATGTGGATGCCAGGTCCTTGGAGGTTAAATGACGGTAGCTGAGTGTGTACATCTTTCCCTGCAGTGGTGGACATCTGTCAGATCTGGAATGGAGGCTGTGCTAAGGGGGCCAAGTGCTCACAGAATGGAGGTAAGGTGAGCTGCACCTGTCCCAAAGATCACACTGGAGACGGGTTCACCTGTCAGCCCATCGACCCATGTGCATTAGGAGACAATGGAGGCTGCCATGAACACGCTGTATGCACCATGACGGCTCCGGTAAGGACGACATGGGACTTGTTTTCTAAGGTTACACCATCAGGTCCTACTTACCTGTAAACTGTGTGTGTGTGTGTGTGTGTGTGTGTGTGTGTGTGTGTGTGTGTGTGTGCACAGGGGAGGAGGAAGTGCATGTGTAAGAACAATTACATCGGAGATGGAGTGACCTGTGAGGTCAGACAGCTGCCTATCAGCCGCTGTCTGCAAAACAACGGCCAGTGTCATCGCGACGCCAAATGCACCGACCTCCACTTTGAAGGTACACGTGAACGTCATTCAAGTAGAAGCTCATTGGATGATGAAGTATTGAGCAGGAGTGTTTCTTGCAGGGTGAATGCATATTGTTATTGTGAGCAAGGTCATGACGTTTGCTTACAGCAGCCGATTTAACCCTTGGAGCTCGAACCCTGACTTTTTTTGAAGTGGAGCAGAAAGTTTGTGTCTGTTGTGATGTGTTTACAAAGATTAATATTTTCCTGCAGATCGTCAAATCTTTCAATTCAAATTTCTCTGAGCCTCATTTGTGTCAGCAGCAGCTACACACCAGGAGTGTTGCTGCACAGAGTAGCGGGTATTTACTAAAACATACATGGAGTGTTTAAGAAATTGACTGTTGTTTCAAATGAATCATGAATAACTCTCAGAATATCTCTAATTATACTTGAATCATAACTTTTTGTACCTTCATGGAAAAAGAAGACATGTATGAATTCATTAATCTGTGTTCCTTTTTCTTCCCTGTAGGTGGAGCTGAGTGTTCCCTTCACTGATAACCTTGACATGCTGAACTTCTCCCTCACTATTTTTCGTACATTCTGATATTTATGTGTTGTGCAGATTCGATGCTCGGTGTGTTCCACTATCGTTCCAAGAAAGGTCAGTACAAACTGAACTACACGGCAGCTGAGCAGGCCTGCGCTGCAGAGGGAGGCCGCCTGGCCACGTACACTCAACTGGCCTACGCTCAGCAGGTCAGTGAACACATCACAGTAGCTCCCGGACAATTGACGTCAGCCCCTGGCACTCCTGCTGAAACATGTCGGCTGTGTGTGGCTCTGCAGGGCGGGCTGAACATGTGTGCTGCTGGCTGGTTGGACCAGGCCCGGGTGGCGTACCCCACCACCTACTCCAACCCAAAGTGTGGCTTCGGACACGTGGGCATCGTGGACTACGGCACCCGCAAAAACCTGAGCGAGACCTGGGACACCTTCTGTTACAGGATGCAAGGTGAGGGAGGAAGATGATGACACGTCTGGCTTCATGTGAACACGAGTGAAACTAAATCTGTTTGTCAGATTTCTATAATGCAGACAGTGTGATATGAGCAGGTGAGGTGCACTTTATTTAAACTTTGTAAATACTTAGTAAAATTTGGCTGTGAGGGAAAAGGCACATTTGTTCCTTCACAGTAGCTGGAAGTCTGCACAGACTAGGTTTGTTAGTTGAAGCGTGCTCAGTGCCATGGTTACGTGCAGATGATCGGCCCGTATATCTTTGTTTCAGAGGTGAAGTGCGAGTGCAAACGAGGTTACACTGGGGACGGTTTCAGCTGTACTGGAAATCTGCTGCAGGTCCTGAGATCCACGCCGAGCTTCTCAAACTTCCTCACCGTGAGTGACGTCAGATCGCTCAGATGCCACTGATCATTGCCTGCACGTGTACAATCCTATCCCTCCTTCTGCAGCAAATCCTGAACTGCTCCCAGGCTTCCGAGTCGGGGAAGCAGCTCGTGCAGCGTCTCAGTAACCTGACTGTCCAGTCCACTCTCTTCGTACCTGACAACAGCGGCCTGCCCAGCAACCAGGTGAGCCATTCACCAGGGCCCTTTAATTTTGTCACACATACAGTTACATCGGTGTGCTCACCTGTGCATTCCTCCAGACTCTGTCTCTGCGTGACATCGAGTTCCACCTGTCGGAGGGTCAGGCTTTCCCTCTGAGCCAGCTGAAGAACGGCAGCCGGATCAGAACTCGAGTCGGCAGTCTGACCGTCCTCGGAGTCGCCGACCAGCTTGACCCGTCGGCTCTGGTCAGAAACAAGCTCATGCAATTGTCATGCACCGCTACACTAACATGCCTCTCTCCTCCTGCTCACTGCGTCAATCTGAATCAGAGGAGACCAAAAGTCTTCTGCAGCACAGTGATCTGACCTAAACGTGCTCAGAGTGTCCCCCTCATGTTTATGGGCTACCTTTGCTAAAGCACCGCCTTTCCAACTCATTTAGGTGTCTGAGAGAGCAAACAGAACTGTCCTGTCTCTGTGCGTATGTGTCTGAGTGTGTGTGTGTCTCTGAGTGTGTGTTGTTTCTGTTGTTTGTATGAAGTTCTAATCTGGTTTCGTTCTCTCAGTCGTTTCGTTACATCAACGACCACTTCGTCAGCGACTCTGACATTATGGCTGCCAACGGGATCATCCACGTCATTCAGGGACCCCTAAAGGCCCCGGCCCCTCACCCACAGGTGAGTCCGACCTGCCTCCATAATCAGAATGCACACTCCTTATCTGACCCCCTGAATTCTCTGATTGGCTCTGCAGATGCATGTGGCGCACAAAGCTGGGATGGGCATCGGCGTGGTGCTGCTGATCGCGTTGGTGGGCGGAGCCATCTTTGTGGGATACCGCTTCTACCGTAACAACACCAAACCCTTCCAGTTCCACTACTTCAAGGTCAGACTGGAACTTTGCACTGAGGCTAAGGTTCCAGGGGGAGTGCTGTCAGTGTGACGCACCTCATCATGACATTTTTATTTGACGCAGCTTCACTATCGATCTTCACTATCGATCTTCACTCGTGTAACTCGAGTTACTCCTGTGGTTGCTCTGACAGGAGGATGACGGGGAGGAAGAAGCTCCGCCCACAAACAGCAGCCGCAACATCTGTAACCCGGTGTATGAAGCGGCGCCAGCGGCTGGCGAGTCCAGTGCGTCGGCGGTCACGGTGAGTCATCGGCGGACGTTTGTGCAGCGCAGAATGAAAGCCGTGACCAACGACCAGACTGCAGTCTGCTCTCGGTTTACAGCACGCTCTGTTTCATTCAAACCTTTCAGGCTCTCACTCTGACGACTGAGAGGAGGATTTTATTCGCTTTAATGAGCAGTCAGGTGATTACACTGTGTTTGCAGGTGGACGACAAACACGAGGTGGAGAACGCAGGAAGTTACGACCTGCTGCAGATCAGCTGAGAGGGAAGTGGAACCTTGGCTGATGTCTTTACCCCTCGGTGGACTGGGACCTCTGTGGCCAGCTGGGTCTCCGACACTGCCGGTACAGACGAGTCCCGTTTCAGGCTTCTCTCTGTGAACTGAAGGACTGCTTCGCCCAAAACTTAAAGTTCGCCTAGCAGAGTTGGAAACAACACAACAATGCTTTTCATTTTCTCTGCAGTCTCTCATTTATGAAATGATTCCTGTATAAAAAATATTTTACAGCAGATATGTTTAAATTAACAGATATAAATGAAAAACTGCAAATAAAGCTGAGCTGAATGGGAATGCTGTCGTTTCATGGCCTCCATCTGCCTGTCAGAGAGTCGTCCTCATGACTAAATACACTGAATCTGGATACTTTGATGTAGTGATGTCACTACACGCACAAACACACACAAGTGCAATAGGCAGAAATGTAAAATATGAGAATCTGTGATGAGTGGATTAATTTCCTTGAGTTTTTCTGTGATTGTCCCAGAAACACTAGGCTGGGTTTGCTGTTCAGGTAAAACAACCAGGTGTGAACCGGCTTCACTGACACAGCCAGGAAGGAACTCATAGTGGGACTGAACAGAACACTGGTCACTGACGGACCATTGCCCCCTGCAGGCCACAGCTCGTTACACACTTAATGTGAAATGTAATGTTTTACCCGGTCGGTCATACGCACAGCGGGCAGACTAGGAGCAGCTGGTTATAATCCAGTTTCCCTGCATGTGCACGTGAAAGGGGCGGTGTTGGCACCATCTGACTAATCTACAAGGGGCATTTCATAAGTCACATGACTATGGCACCTACACCAGAAACATACCAGTTTAAGTGAGCTGGACACCGTGGGGCCCATGTGGGTGTGACCACAGTGTCTGCTTGGTGGTTTCTGTTAATTTTTCTGCACCAAACTTCTTTTACCACAAAGAAATGTACTTTTTACTTCACTCCTACATTTGCTTGACAGGTGTATCTGCTGCCACCTGCTCTTCAGCACAAACTGATATTTTCACTCACCCACTCAGATGGGTACGTGTCAGATAATAACACATACCCATCACAGTCTGCTTCTCAGTCACAAATCTGAGAACCACACGATACAATATTAAACACATTCAGAAGGCTGTGCTTTCAAAACATACAAACGTGAGTGCTACAAAACTAATCTGTGTGAATAAAAAAATGACCTCAATAAACAGAGAGCTGATCATAGTGTACTTATGTAGTGAAAAACAATTACATTTATATAAAAGTGATCTATGGTCAGTTTCATGCGACATACTGTGAGATTTACATGAAAAGTAAATACAGGAACTTCAGTTGTATTTATTACTGATATAATACAGAGGAACCCCAACAATCACATAACCCCCATGAGCATGCACTTTGGCGACAACTCCCATTTAACAGGAAGAAATGTCCAGCAGATCCAGGCTCAGCGAGGGGCGGCCATCTGAGACATAAGAGAAAGAAGACAGGACAAAGACATGCTGTGGAAGAGAGCCAGAGATGAACAATAACTAATGATTAAATGCAGAGAAGTGAGTGAAGAAGAAACACTGCATCATGGGAATCCCCTGGCAGCTTACACCTATTGCACCATAACTAAGGGAGGATTCAGGGTCACCTGATCCAGCCCTAACTGTATGCTTTAGCAAAAACGAAAGTTTGAAGCCTAATCTTAAAAATAGAGATAGTGTCTGTCTCCCAAATCCAAACTGGAAGCTATTTCCACAGAAGAGGGGCCTGAAAGTTGAAGGCTCTGTCTCCAATTCTACTTTTAAATACTCTAAGAACTACAATTAAACCTGCAGACTGAGAGCAAAGTGCTCTAATAGGGTGCTACGGTACTATCAGGTCATTAAGATAAGATGGGGCCTGATTATTCAAGACCTTGTGAGGAGAAGGATTTGAAATTGTGGATTTAACAGGGAGCCAATAAAGAGAAGCCAGTATAGGAGAATCTATCTCTACTCCTGTGTAATCCATAACTGTTAATTTAAATATTATAGGAGGTTTTCAGGAAACATTTAAATGTTCCGTTTTATGCCACATGTCACAACTGGAGTGTGATTAAAGTGGTGGGTGGGCTCTTTCACATTTTGCCTTGTTTTAGTTTAATATTATATTAAGCGTAATGCTGAGGCTGTCATTTTTAGAATCTACATGGATGTTAAAATCACCCACAATAATTATTTTATCTGAGCTGAGCACTAAATCAGATAAAATCTGAGAATCTGTCACAGTAACTGGTTGAGGGTGAAGTTCAATAAGTCCATGACAGCATAATTCTGTACATGATGGCAAACACAGGTAAAAAACAAGAGGACGATGCAACGAAGTCTGAGGCTATAAATCATTGAGGATCATTAGAGAGACAAAGGAAATAAAACTAAATGCAAGACACAAGGAGCCTACCAAAAAAAAACAGTAAGTAATATAATGGAGACTGAAGATGAAGACACAGAAATACAAGGGAGGCACAATAAACAGAAACTAAAGGAATTGAATATGAACAAAACTATAACCACAAAAAGAACTAGATGTTCAATAAGAGAATATAACATGAGAATATAAACATAAAAAAAGGAAATACAGTTGTGATATTTTTGCTGGTTTCTAGCTTGCTTTTAGTTGGTCTGGGAGCAGACACAGGCTCTAAGGGGCAACTCTAGATAGTCACGTTTGGGAGGTTTTAATAAATTTGGCCAAATTTCTAGAAATATTGATTTCAGTGACACAACATAATCATTACTGCTGACGTGAACTATATTTTTTACTGAATTTATTGTAAGCGCCAGACGTCTGCTTTATATTTTTATTTACGATTGAGTTCATGTTTGTTTTATAATTCATAGATTCATTACATAAGTCATCTTTTCAG